CTTAGTTTGCCACTTAATGAAAGTAAAAGTTAGAGAGCTTCTTGATGTCCAACTGGGGAACTATGAAAAACAAAATAATTTTGAAAAATTTTACTTTTTTAAGTAAAGAGGTGGAAAATCAGGAAAATTTGGTAAGGATCCTGGAATTTAATGAACCTATAAGTGTTAAGAATATATAAAAAATATCTTATTTATAATAATAATAATAATAATAAAAGTTTGTTTTTTTGCATTGTGTGGGAAGGGCTATATTTAAGTTGGATGGCTGTTTTGTTTTCTTACTAGTAACCTTTATAAACAACAAATAACTTGTGCTCTGTCTTGTGTATTCTTATTGAAATGTAGAGTGATGATATTACTAGCTTTTTTGACAAATTTTAGAACAAGATGGCAAAAGGCCATTCAGCTAACTGAATCCGAACACAATTTGTACTGACACACGAATACAGTGAGTTAGTTTGTCTTTTCTAAGTGAATATGAAATGAAACAACAAATGCTTTAGGATTCTTTTTTAACTTTTTTTTTTTTTCTAGTCAACAGAATTGTCAGTATCTGGAACTACTTACAAAACTGCTGTCTTACACAATACCGGACATACTAGTAACAAGATTTTATAATGAGCTGATTAGGTGCCTCCGTCACTCTCATCCAGAAGTAAAGAATGTAGCCTTGTCACAGGTAGGCTATAGAAGGATGCAATGTATTTGTTCAAGGGTATATACAATGGTTAGACGCCACTTCTTCAGAACCAAAAGAAAAAGATAATTATAGAGACATCATTACTCACTGAGACTCGATTTGTAAATTTTTAAATAAGCAATAATTATTCTGTATCATTAATTAAAATTGAAAATGTATATAACATATGATTCTTACAACAATAATGATATGTTTATACTATTAATTAATGTATTATTAAGAATTTACATGCATTATAAATAACCTATATGTCAGTAAGCATATATTCTGATCCTAGAGTTAGACAACCCCATTTTTTCAAAATTCTGTGTCTGCCTATGTTGTTTTAGATTTTGTTACAGTATTATTTAATATAGATAGATAGCTTACCTGAATTTTGAAAAAAAAAATTAATCATATATCAGGACTGAATTAACAATGCATTACTGCAATATAGCAATGTGATCATTTATGTGCAAGATGTAAATGCAGTAAAAAAAATGTGACTTGAAACAAATATTCTGTTGTTTAATGAGTTTTCAACATTATGAATACTTGCTTTTAAGCAATTTATCTAAATAAGATCAGCTAAAGATTAGAACATGTTTATCTTCATTCAAGATCAGTTTCAAACATATTGCTCCGTTAATAAGCAGCAGTTATACTAAAAATTATACCTGTGGAACAAATACACTTGTTCTTTTACTAAAGTTTGTTGTTTGCTTTGAATTTAGTTGTATGTGATTCTTTCAATAAGGTTACATGAATAAAGAAATTAAGTACTACAGATGGTGACTACTTTTATGTTAAGATAATTTTAGAGCTTTATCATGTAGTTACAGCCCCATGCTGCTATTTGTGGTCATGCTGTGTCTGACATCTGTGTATCTTGACAATAGCCCTGCAGTATAGTTTCCATTGTAAAAGTCTATCGTAAGGCTGTAATGTCAAAAGCACACAATTTTTCCCATTAGGATTTACATAATACATCTAGTGTATGAGGAAAACAGTTTGCCAGTGGCCCTTTCAACAGTCCAGCAGTTATTCAGAGGTCCTTAAGCACTGCATTGGGTGACTTGACCAGTAAGCCTTTTGTATGGAGTAGCATGAATACTCATTTCTGTATTCAGCTGCTTGATGTATGCCATGATTAAACTGATATGTCATGAAAGGAACTTGTACATTCAGCATTTTTCCAGACAGAGATCTTTCTTGATTATGTTGCTCTGGGCACATGGAGAGCTTTTTCCAATGACTATTGTGTTTTGTGAATTCTCACATGTTAGAAGACTAGACTTGACTAAAGCTGATGTATGACTTGTTGCAAGTCTATTTCTGGATGTTCCCAGTGCTCTAATTTGATTCATATTCTTTTGTTTTCCAATACCACTAAATACAAGGGATATATTAGTCTTGGAAATTCTAAACCCTGCTGTGAACACATCTTTATGATTTAATTCTATGAATATTTTGTGTGGAAATACTATTACATACCCTTCCCAAAAGCAATGACTATTTGGTGGCATCAGACTACCTGCAGACACCAAATATTATCAAAATGTACCCTGGTACAATCTGTTTTCCTGTAACTTTATATTGGCTGTGGTTGTCACATGACTTGCTGATTTGCATATCAAAAATTGATATAATGTACTCAACCCTGTGTATATATATATATATATATATATATATATATATATATACACACACACACACACACACACACTAGTACGTACCTACCACCACCACGAAGTATACTCGTTCCTACAACGACACGTA